TTTCGGGAGTAATACATGCTATATTTCATATTGAATTATCACTCCCATTCTGAGGGAATAGCACAGGTTAAATAGGCATAGACTACCAAAACACCAAAACCTTAAATGCTGGAGAATCAAGCATGGTTTGTGGGCTTGTCACAAAATGAAGATGCTTGGAACTCATCAGAGGACATTAAAAAAACCAAGTAGCAAGTGTCTAATGTTCCACTATGCCCCCTTTATATGAAAAAAGGGGGGTGATTCTGATTAGTCAGGGTGTTTTTTTTTATGTTGCAATACGTATACTGATCTCTAAAGTGTGGGAGAAGAGGGCAGATATCTTGCAAAGAGGATTCTTGGCAATTATCAAGCATAGGCTATACCCCCCCCCCCAACTGCAATTCACTAAATGCAAAGGTTGTCAGAGCAGGGAGGTGGATGGAAGCCCTTGCTGAAAGGGACTGGCTTCCCAAAACCACCCTACCAGTAGGGAAATGCTTATTAGTGTTATTATGTTCATGCGGTTGGAAATTTTTCTGTTATGTTTACTATTAAACCACTGTTGGCTACAAGGACTGCTGCAATCTGTAAGTGAGTGATGGCGCAGCAGGCAGGGAGCTGGGTTCCTACATGTCATGCCACATTGTAAAACCACCAGGCTTCTGCTCTCCAGAAAGCATTTCTTAAAAAATAGGTGTGGAACAGGAGTGGGGGGGGTGACTGAAGGAGCTAAGGAGGAGGGTTGGGGGGACAGAGGAGAGGGGAACAGTGAGCAAAAGAAGCAGACAAGGACCCATGCCTCATTTGTCAGTTGCAAATGAAGTGTTAGCCAATATTTTATTTTTCATACATCTAGATTAGCCTTAAGTGTTTGGGTTGCAATCTAATGTCTAGGGGACATATTTGCCTTTCCTATATGTTGACCTTCAAACGATCAAGGTACGAAAACAACAAGAGAAAGAGAAAGCATTTTTCTTCTTAATTTTGGAAATAATTTAGGGACTCAGAACTTCAACTTTGCAGGTATGTCTGAGGAAATCCCTACACATTCAGGTTACTTAGATTTAACAGTGTCAGGTGTATATTCAGTGGCAGAGTAAATATTTCCCAAATGCTGCCTCCATGGAAGCAAGTAACCAGAGTCTCTCTGCTGTGCGATGCCTAAAGGTTTTACTCTGGCAAGGAGCTTGGAGCCAAATGGGGTTTGCCAGGTGAAATGGAAGGTCACTGCTGTTACAACAGTGAGCACTTCACATCTGGTCTCTTGAAATGAAAAGACTAGGACCCAGCACCCACTTCCTCACATAGAAAGCATGTCTCTCCCAGGGAATCTTTTCACTGTAGTTTTGATTAAAGCCATGTGACACACCTTAGCATCATTACTAAAAAACTGGACCCGTGGAAGTCACTGGCTTTGAGAATGCTCAGCTCTTCAGAGGATTTTGAACACTATCATGTAATAATTCTAAAATAAGTATCAGTCTTTATGTCTGGGTTGTATTTTTATTTTAAACCATCACCAGGGAATTACAAACTAAACAAATTAATTGGTAAAAATGTCTGGTTAAGTGTTGTTTCTCTATAACTAAACGTCTAGTGTAGGTGGGAGGAAGCCCTTAAAAGCCACTACCAGGCAGTTTAAAACCCTGCCATTCCCCAGTTTGCTCCAGAGAAGGACTTGAGATAGAGGACAGCCTGGAGGCCCTCACTCTAAAGAACAAAGGACAAATACAGTCAATACATCCCATAATGCTTACATTTCCTTTGCCTTTTCCCCTTGGTTTTTCCTGGGAAGGACTGACCTGGGCAAAGCACTCGGCTCTCTAAAAGACACTGTATAGACCTTTTAGAAGCGCAAAGTCCAAGGCTGAGGTGAACTTCAGGTCAGCGCGTCTAACAAATATGAAAATGTCGGCTGGTGAGGGCGCGCCTGTGACTAACAAAGACTGTCAATGTGTAAGATTAATAAGAAACAAAATGCACACGGTGTCACTGTTCGGTCACTTTGAAACTTGGGACAGGGTTGCATTCAAGTGGGGAGGCTGTTCCAAATATATTCAAAATGATTTAAATTAGATTCCAACCAAGGGGTGAACACTGTCTCCGTCCAGTTGCCCCTCTCCCTCAGACTCCCTTCGACTCGCCTTCTTCATCTGGGATTCGAGGACATGATGAAAAGTTATTTCACTCAATGGGATTTTAAGAAAGCTTTTCTTGGGGAATATATGTTATCCCTGCATATTGAAATGAACAAAGGTGCTTACCAGTTTCCCAAGGAAGAGATAGTGCTTCAACCCCGATTGGAACTCTAGCCAGTTGGTGTGCGAAGATTAGCATGTTCCCTCTCTCCTTCATTCCAGGGCATCCCTTCTTTTCCCTTGGCAAGATGCTGCTGGTAAACTTTGGTTTGTTTTTCTCATTAAGTTAGTTTCTTCCAAGCTCTCCTTTGGTGTCTTGGACATTATGTAAAGGCAAGGGGTGCTTCTTAGTTTTAATGTTTTTCAAAAGATTATTCGATTCAATGGGATTATGCTATGCATGCTTGCAAAAGGGAGGCTGTGGAAGGTTCAGGAAAGGTACTGAGACTGTTTATTACAGCCATAAATCTTTCAGTAAAATGTCAAAATGTCGGTGTGTGAGATAACACTTGGTGGTCCTGGCTCCGTTTGTGTTTATGATAGAAGCGCAAAGACAAGTTACAGGCCTTGAGGGATTCTGTGTAAGCCCATCTTCCTCAAGTAACAGAAACAGGCATAGTTAACTCATGCAGCTTAACCGTATACAAAGCAGTGCCAGTGTCTCCTTAATACTTAAAAGTGAAGACTCTGTAGACCACTCTGAGGCTAAACAACACGAAGTTTGTGTCTCAGTGCCTATAAATAATATTAAACAGACATGGTTAGGACTCTTGTGCTTGGTGACACCAGGGACAGGCAAGATTCCCTCATCATGCTTTTCCTCCAATTTGAAACATAGCCAGATGTGTAATGCATATATATTTGTATATATAGTATATATGTGTGCTACTTGTGTTAGGTAATATGTGTTACCTAACACAAGTAATATATGTTCTGTATATATTTTCTTGCTAGAGAGGGCAGCCACATCACAGGCTAGATTTCCTCCCTCCAGTCTAGAGAGGCTATCTAAAGGTTATAATCAGTGTTGATTTCTGTCTGTGGCTCAGATTTCATTAAAAAAAATTCAGGGTGTCTCATGTCAGTGGACAGCTCTCTATGCGCCCATGCACTAAGTGTGGAAGACTTTTTTTGTGCCATTTCAGGACAATTCTAGTCTGAAACTAACATGATCCTTTTTTTAACCTCTTTTTCTAAATTAGTTTAAAGATTAGTCTCATATAATAGTCTTTATGTGGCTAAGCATTAAATGACCATCCATCAAATGGATATATCCCAGCATTTAGTAGCCTAAATGAGTAACCAATATAAATGAATATAGAACTGACATTCTTTTTGGAGTGTCTTCAGGCTTGGGTTTATAACTTCTGAGAAGGTTGTTGGTTTATCCTGTTGTCTGAAAAAATCAACTAGGTGCACCAATTCAAATGTCTTTGCTTTGTATGCCAACAGGAGAATTATGTTTTGGATGGTGACATGCTAGTTTGCACTGTTTTACCATCATGCAAAGGGGATCTAGGCGTGCCTGCTATTCAGAAGATAGGAAAGAGGACCAACACAGTACGAATAAAGCATCAATATTTACTTCAAAGATCAACATTAGGTGGAATTAATACGTAATTTATTTGTTAATAATGACATAATTAGTTTACCCATCAGATTTCAATTACCAAATGGCAGACAACAGTCCCCTCTCTCTCCTTTCCGGAGCTACTGATATCGTTAATATGCTAATTTTCAGCAATTCAGAAATTACAGACTGTCCTGTAAATATAGCCTTCATCCCTGATACAGTCTGAAGAAGGAGCATCCAAAAGGAGAAAAAACAAAACGTTAGAAGACCTGTAGACGATCAGACCCGAAAGGATCTTACTCTGTCTCAAGCTTGTTTTTGTTTGGGGTTTGTTCTGTAATGCGAAGTTACTGGATTCAAATCAGGGTTTTGTGCTGGCATCATCCCCTCCGTTCCCATTCCAGGGTGGAGGTCTCACAGCAGCGCCCAGTAAAGGAGGCATGTTTACCTCTCGTTAGCACCTCCATCAACTGCAATATAGGGAGGTTCCAAATCGTAAATGAAAAACAAAAAAAAAAAAAAATGCTGTACAAATTCTGCCTCTGGAAAACAAGAAAAAAAAAAATTAAGTATCCATGAGGTTTTACTGGATAGCCCTCGCTGTACATCCTTAGCTGGGATGGCTCAGCGGCCCATTCCACCCACCCTTCCTGTGCGGCTCCAGGCCGGCTACTCAAAGTAGGGACTCCCCAGCAGCCGAGTGGATGTGCATGGTGTGGGTAAAGAATCGCAGGCGAGAAAAATGGGTCTGTAGGCTTCCTTCGTTATTCCGGGGCTAGGATAGAAAGCCAGGGTCTGCCTCTTGGTCCAAGTGTCCTTCCCTGTGCTGGAGGGCCTCGAACCCTCGGAGGTTCACCCGAGGCCTGGGAGGCCAGGAGGCCAGCGCTGAGCCGTGGGGACCAGCTGCCCGGAGGCCTAGGACAGACGTGGGCTGGAAGAGGGCTCGGAAGGACCCGCGTCCTAACAGGCCCCGACTTCTCAGCCGGAATCCAAGTTGGGGGGCCCGAGGCTCCCGAGTCCCGGCTCGCTCCTCCCGCCCGCCCGGGTGCAGAGCGGCATCCATCACGCCCCCGCGCGTTTCCTGATCCGGGTCCGCGCGCGCGGATCGCCCATTGGCCGGGTGGCGGCACGTGGGACGCGGGGCGGGGCGGGGCGCGCAGGGCTGCGGGGTGTGCGCCGGGGCGGGGGCAGAGCCGCGCCAACTTCGGCGGGCGCCGGGGGGAGGGGGAAGGGCAGGCGTTTGACAGCGGGGGGAGGGGCGGGCGCTGAGGGTGGGGGGGGATGGGAAGCGCGGCGAGAGGGGGAGGGGCCTCGGCGAGCGCAGAAAAAACGACACCGCGAGAAAAATTAGTATTTTTGCACTTCACAAATTAATGACCATGAGCTCGTTTTTGATAAACTCCAACTACATCGAGCCCAAGTTCCCTCCCTTCGAGGAGTTCGCGCCGCACGGCGGCCCGGGCGGTGGGGACGGCGGCGCGGGCGGGGGTCCCGGCTTCCCGCGGACCCAGACCACCCCGCACCTGCCAGCCCCGAACCTGCACGCTGCCCGCCAGCCCCCCGCCTACTACGCGCCGCGGGCGCGCGAGGCTAGCTACCCCGGGGGCCTGTACCCCGCGCCCGCCGCCGCCTGTCCCTACGCCTGCCGCGGCGGCAGCCCCGCGCGACCCGAGCAGACCCCGGCCCCCGGCGCGCACCCCAGCCCGGCCCCGCAGCCCCCCGCGCCCCCACGACACTGCGCTCCAGGCCCCGCCACCCCGGCTGGCGCGACTGGGGGCAGCGCCCCCGCGTGCCCGCTGCTGCTGGCGGACCAGGGGCCGGTGGGCCCGAAGGGCAAGGAGCCCGTGGTGTACCCCTGGATGAAGAAGATCCACGTGAGCGCCGGTACGTGGCGCCGCCGGGTGGGCAGCGGGCGCGGGGGCGCGGGGCAGGGCGCTGGGAGGGACCCCCCATCTGGCCCGCGCTTTGGCTGTGGGTATGTGCAGGCTGCCCGAATCCTGGTCCCAACGTGAGAACCCTTTTGTACCCAGGGTCCCTTTATCTCAAGATTTACGAGACGCCAAACTGTTAGGGCAGTAATTATAGCCCCCATAAATTTAATTGCCCTGGCAGAGGCTCCGGGCCATGTGTCTTTGAAGCTTTTCTTCAGCCCCAATGCCCAGCACCATTCTTTATGGCTCTCGGGTGTTTCCCGTTGTCAATAGCCTGTGAAACATTTTCTTTGCCGTTTTATGTATCTTGCGTGAACTTGGTGTCAGGTTATTATATAATGATGATGTCCAATTGCTCTTCCCCACCCTATCTCCTCTCTCCTCCTCTCCTTCTCTTCCACTCCCTCCTCCTTGGCCTTCTCCTTCGGGGTTCTGGCGTTCAGTCAACCCCAGTTATAACGGAGGCGAGCCCAAGCGCTCTCGAACCGCCTATACCCGGCAGCAGGTCTTAGAGCTGGAGAAGGAATTCCACTTTAACCGCTACCTGACCCGGCGGCGCCGCATCGAGATCGCCCACACGCTCTGCTTGTCTGAGCGCCAGGTCAAGATCTGGTTCCAGAACCGAAGAATGAAATGGAAGAAAGACCACAAACTTCCCAACACCAAGATGCGATCTTCCAACCCTACCTCAGTCCCTGCCGGCCTGCCTGGAAAAGCACAAACTCACAGCCCCCACCCCCATCCCCACCCTCTCCCTAGTGCCTCCACACCGATTCCCTCCTCCATATAATCAGTTTCTGTCACTTACCTGTCCTTCTCTCCTGCTCCTGTCCTCATCTACTCCTCCCCAAGAAAACCATAACAGACACCAAAACAAAATTCAACTTGGTGGAAACCATAACCAAAAAAAGAAGATATTAACCTTGGTAAGTGTCTGTGTGATCCCCAAGAGGACTTCTGTCCTGGACACTGCCTAGTGGAACAACCTGCTGACCTGGACAGCCTTGCCAGGGGTGGATACCTGGGAGGAAGCGCTTGTCATCGAATGGCTTTGAGTCAGCTGGGCAGCACGTGCTGACTGGGGGACGTGTATCTTTGTTGCAAGGGGAAGAAGCAGGCCCTTCCCCAGCTTCCTGACCTCCCTCTCCTACATTAAGGCAGCTCACGTGAGCTTTACTGAGTAGACATTGTGGACCTCACCAGATTATTTAATTCTCAAAATGTGTAGACCTTGATGGTAGGTGTGGCATGTAGTTTCCTCTCCTTGCGTTTATTTAACATATTGTTATCGAGATATTGTTGTCTTATTCTTGGGCACAATCTTGGGGGAGAGGGAAATGCATTTGGACCCACTTACAACTGTACAAAGTGATATGGCTGTGTAAAAGGAATGTGCTAAGAATAAACATTTTAAAAAACAGTAAGAACCTAAGAGATAGATTTGTGTGTATTCCAAGCTTTTCATAAAAACAAAAACCAACTCCAACTCCTCTTGGTGGAGATATTTTTTGACCTTGTGTGCAGAAGCCTTGTAGACAGCGTGAGCTAGGGTCACATTCGTACTCTCAGAATGTGTGTCTGTGTGGGTCTGTGTGTGTCTTCAGCTCGATCTGAATTCTTGTCAAGCTTGGCCCACTGTGGAAATGTTCCAAAAAGCAGAAGGCTCTTGAGTCCGGAGAGGGCTCCTCTTCTTTCCAAACTTGGCCAGGCGATCAGGCTTCAAGTCTCTGTAAGGCATAGAAACACGTCTGCCTCTGCAATGAAAGGTGAACCCGTGCTGAGCAGAGGCCCAGGAGTTTCTGCAGCTGTTCCGAGGGATGAACTCTGAGCATACTTGGCATTTGTTGCACCTTCACACTTAATCTGCCTGTTTCCCTGGAGATAAAAAATAGTTTATGCAAAGGGTTGAGATTGCTTTTTGGGTTTTGGCTGGTCTTAAGGTCTTTTCGCTGAGCACAGCTTGGGAATTCTTAGTTTGCTTCTCTAGGAAGAGCTTTGAGAGTAAAGTGAACTTTCCCACCACACTCCCCAAAGTATCCTCTGAGGGAGTAAGAAGCATAATGACACTCCAAATACACCCTAAGCAAGGTCATTTTGGAAGAGGTCACTGTTGGGAGAAAGCCAAACCCTGATTAGGGTCACTTTCCTCAGTGCATGCCCAGAGAGCTAGATTTAAAGGTGGGGGAAAAGTGGAAATTCACCTCTCAATCTCTGTATTCCTAGTGTTTGTTCATTGGTTAAAATTTGGTGCTTTGGTACTCAGGCATCTCTCTCTGTGTGTGTATGTGTGTGTGTGTGTGTGTCTCTCTCTCTCTCTAACACACACACACACACACACAGAGAGAGAGAGAGAGACAGAGAGAGAGAGAGAGAGAGAGCACAGAATACTAGAACTGCCATCTGGCCTTGAAACAGAGTAGTAAATATATGAGAGGGAAGGGATATTCACCTACTTCTGTAATATCAGAGGAGATTTAAAGCCATTTCCATAAGTGGCACAAGCTCAGCCACCCTCGCTGCACTGAGTATAAGCCAGGCATGTCTGCTCTTCACTTATAGGGAAGTCAGCTTTTAAGAAAGAAAGGATGGACTCTGGTTTCTGAGGGGCCAAGAAAATTCCTGGAAAAAAATGAGTACACACATGCCTTCCCAAGTTAGGAAGAACCTGGCAGAATATGCATTTTATAAGGTGAAGGAACAGGCGCTAAGCATTTCTGGAGGAGTGTAGCTACTGCTACAACTTATTAACCCCCCCTACTACATGCACTTATAAAGCAAAATGAAATCACACTGAAAATAGCAATTTCCCCAAGAATCATTAATCACCTCATATAATAAATACTTCTTTGAAAGGCATTCTCTGGGAAAAGTCTTTGGAGGAGAGAGGGATTCTCTTGCAAATAATGCTTTCTTGGGCAAAGAAATTATATATATATATATATATATATATATATATATATATATATATATATATGCATGCCTTGGCTCTTAGTGAAAATTGAATGTCAAGGTAGAAAACCTCAAATGGCAGACTTTCATCATTTAAGGTAAATTCTTGTATTTCTCCTCAGTGGGGAAGGAAGATGTGAGACATTCACTGGCTTCATTCTGGAGTTGTTGGTGGGTAGGTAAAAGGGAATGCCTTTGATTTGTCCATGCAGAAAAGGAAATGAGAGACATCCTTTTTCTACTGTTTTGGGATAAAGCATCATTTTTGTATTGATGATTAAGGTATTGGTGTTTTTACAAAACCAAAATTATTGAAAATGCTGCAGATGATTCTGCCATTGCTTCATGGTGGGTGTTCTATTTGAAATCCAGCCATCCTTTAAGGGAGCTCACCAAAACTGTTTAGAAAATCTCACTGTGCACTCTAAAATCATTCATTGTCTGCCCTTTGTCAGGGCAACCATAGGAGTTCACTGAGAGGACAGATTTTCTATCTCATTAATTGTTTCTTTTCTTTTTTTCTTTTTCTTTTTCTTCTTCTTTTTTTTTTTAAAAAGCAAACCTACTAGTCCTTGAAACCCTTGACCTTTAAAGACAGGGTTTTGTGTAAGCTCTGTAGTTCTCTTACCAAAATGACACTTGCAATGCTCCCCCCCTTTTCCCTCTCTTCCTTCAATCCACACTCATCCGCTTTAGTCACAGAGCCAAGCGGTGCATGACTCTAGAGAGAGAAAAGTTTTGTCAACATCTGAAATCAAACTAAATCGGGTAGGAGACATTTTAATGGTCACAGTTTGAATTAAGTACTTAACACTCTCCCCCTTGAAGAAAAATGGCAGTTTGCAGGCTTTCTTTGCTAGTTTTGCTGAAATCTACGATATACCCGGGGTTTTATTACAGCAGGAATTCATCTGTGACAGGCATAGTGGAGTACTTAATACCCAGGATGGAGCTCATGGGAAGATTACCCAGCTATATGGGGTGGGCCTGCTCATGCTGTCTCTGTCTTTGTGTCAGCAACCCCAGAGTGCCCTACTGCCCCTGCTTCTTCCCCCCTCCCCATGTTTCTAGGACACCAGTGTTCCCCTAAGTTCTCAAACTGTGCCACTGTCCCCTGCTGCTATCTCTCTAGCAGTTCCAACATAGAAATAGATCAGCATGCCTTTATAGTGAAAGGAGAGACAATCCCCAAATAAATGTAGCAAAGGACAACTTCAGGCTTCCCGTTCCTGTGACTGGGCTTTGTGCAAGCAATAGGCCTTCACCCTCATGTTCTTGATATCTACATCGATATAGACCTGCAAGGAAGAACTCAGGCCTAACCTTTCCAACTGTGGTTCCTGGCACCCCTTGCATGCATCAAGGGGGAAATGCTTTGTACCTCAAAGAGGATGGTGTTTGCCTGGCGGTTCTGTCGTACACCTTTAATCCCAGCACTTGGGAGGCAGAGGCAGGCAGATCTCTGAGTTTGAGGCCAGCCTGGTCTACAGAGTGAGTTGTAGGAGAGCCAGGGCTACACAGAGAAACCCTGTCTAGAAAAACCAAAAGGAAAAAAAAAAAGTATGCAAAGCAGAGGAGAAATGGGACCAGTCTAGACAGGTGTCATGGATCCTTCTAATCTGTGACTGACATCTGCCTTGGAATTTAGAGTCCCCATTTCTAGTCTGAAGATGTCAAGTGTTCAAGATGAAAGAGAACTGGTGGCCATATTGGTTCAGTTGTCTCCATTTACAGAAGAAGAAACTGAGGCAGTTGAATGACTCTCTTCAAGTTCCTTATGCTAATGAGACTGTAGGTGGCAGAACCTTTGGCATCACCCTGGATGGGTACACATGCCTAGGCATCTTTCTGCTGCAGGAGAAACAAGAATAAAGAGGACTGGAGATGGGTATCTAGTCTTGTGCAGATGTGTGGGGCTGTAGATGTGTGCATAGCCTGGAAAAAGAATGGTTGTATTATTAAAGCTGCCCTAGAGATAATGTAACTAAATTGCCCATTCATGGCATTCAAACAGGTGGGCTGAGAGCTGCCTTCAGGGGAGAGGGATTTCTGGTGTTTACAGTGTTGGTAACTCCAGAAAGACTAATTCTGCCATGCTCAACCTAGCACTTCCACGACATTCTTGTTTAGGACAGGGATGGTTGTGTTTTGGAAGCCTAGGGAACAACAACAACAACATCAACAACAAAGCCAGGTATGGACCTTGGTTGCCACTGATAAAGGTGTGGCGTCTGTTAGAGCAGGAAATAGTGAAATTGTGGTCTTTGTGGCCACGTGACTCATTAAATAATTAATGCAGATCGTCAGGAATGGATCTGAGTCGTCAGGGCCTCACTAGGAATGACTCTCTCAGTAGTGAGACTCCAAGTTCCTGCTTGATTTTTAAAGGCACACACCTTCAGATATATCTCCAAAGGCATCTAAGTCCTTCAGAAAACAGAGGAGACCACTTCAACGTGGAGAACGGAGCTGACCGGTGGGCGCTTACCAGGTTCAAGGCTTTTTTGTAAGATTGTCGAAAGCCCAGGGAGTCTCTGTGTCCAGGGAAATGTGAGTTTGGACTCTGGCTTTTCTTTTTTTTCTTCTTTTCTTTCTTCCTTTCTTTTTTTTTCTTGCGGTCATCATCTGGTTTGGGTGATAAAGTGGGGACAGACGTGCAGACAGTTGGTAACATCCTTATTCACGCTGGGGAAGGCTGCAGAGATACCACAGGAGGAGCATGCGGCTTTGTTCAATTTTTCCCAGCGTTCATAAATCACTGGCACTGGGCAAGTGAGGGAGCAAGGAGCCGCCAAAAACGCGAGAGAGGCCACAAGGGCTGCAGCCATTGCAGAGCAAGAGACCTAAACAGAGGCTCTCCATGACTCATTAGTCTGAAGGATTTATGGGGAACAGGAACCATGAAT